GAGGGATTAGAGGGATTAGAGGGATTAGAGGGATTAGAGGGATTAGAGGGATTAGAGGGATTAGAGGGATGTGAGGGATGTGAGAGAATCTCGGATATATGAACTTTTGACCTTTTGAACTTTGAACTTCGAAGAAGGTATGTGGAATATGGAATGGGATTTGGGGTCCTGTCTTGAGGAGGTTTGGGGGTGGAGGGAGAGAGGGAGAGAGATAGAAATAGAAATATACGTAGGTGTTACACATAGCTTCTAGAGAAAGATACACAGTTGGCGACTCGAGTGCATGTGAGAAGTGGGTTTGAAAATTGAGGGATGGTTGGAGATGAGGGGGAGTGGAGGAGTGAGTATATAAGAGGAATTACAGACAGCAAGTGAGAGGGTTTAGAAGGGTGGTAGAAGAGATAATAACCGGGAAACGAGGAGGTGAACAGGAACGAACCATGGTAAGTGCAAAGTTTTTGTATGGTAGATGAGAGGGGTAGCGTTGAGATGTTGAGTAGTGATCAGGATGTAGATTTGAGTGTAAATACTAAGGTCGGTGTAGTGAGTAGGTTTGTGGTGTAAGTCTTGGGACTTGATCTATTCTAGAGAGATTCGCGGAGAAAAGAGTGCTTCGATCTAGAGAAGAATAGGAGCGTATGGAAGTATTGTGGTTTAGGATGTAAGATTTCTGTTACTAGATAGGTGTGTAGATGTGTGAGAAGTGAGTGAAGTAGATGTGGATGGATATTTGATGGGGATTAGAAAATGTGGTTGGTGAGGTGAGATGAGGAGAAATTTGGCGGTGAGTATTTGACACTCTGTTGTGTGCTGAGGAGCTCGGGATGTCTGATAGTGTGGACTGTAATCTAACACAAGACTTAGAAGGGTCAGATTCTTTTGGATGTTGGGAACATTTCAGATGTTGTAATGGGTGGAAATGTTGAAGTATTTTCATTTATGAAATCAAGTATGACGTCTCCAGAGACTGAAAACTAGAACCTACAAATACTAACGGACTGCAGTCCGGACTATTGAAAACACTGGCCTGCTCTGAGGTGAAGAATGGTCTAAGAATCTCATTACATGCTCGAAAATAGTTCACATAATCAAATCCACATGAAGCTTCACCATAGTAGAGCGAATACGAGCTCGCATTGCTATTGATTGATTATTGAACATATGAATCTTGGACTATGATGGAAAGCCAATGAAACTCATCCACTTCGGTGCAAACCAACTCTCGATGTCGTCATGGGATGGTCAAATACCTAGGAAACGTACAATTTGTTATGTTGGAGAAACAGGAAATGATTTTGAATCATGGGCACCTTCCATGCAAACCTTGTTTGGTGTATGTCCAGCGCCATATTTTACATACCGTTACAAAAATGATCAAAATGAGCCTTATCAATCAATACTATCCTGATCATCTTCATCATCCCTACCCTCATCGTCATCTTCATCATTGTCATCATCGTCGTCTTCGTCTTCGTCTTGGTCTTCATCGTGAATGTAGTGGCCAAAATCATCCACCTCTGAGAGATCCTCGTAATCATAAATACCATAATCGTCGCTATCGATATCCTCAGCACTATCATCACTATAGGTTTCGTATCCCCTCTCCTCTGACTCTCTCGTAGCGGTGGCCCAAATCTCGTCCATGGTTATCCATTCGTCTCCCGCTGGCATAAACTTTTTGATGACACGGTGCTGTAGTACTTCGCCCAGAGAACTTGACCGAGTTCCAGTATATGATGCGGAAAGCTTTATTGGATAAGTGCCGTTTTCTTCTTCACTATCCCAGCCCTCATGCCAAACGCCAGTGAAATAACAAGACTTGAGCTTCAAACCAGTTTCAAGTGTGTTGAAAACATTACCCCAACCAGCACAGTTACTCGCCATCGTCATTGTATCAAGTGACAAATTTTCTAATGTACCCGCATGCTTTTGAAGAAACTCTGAGAAAAAGGCATTGGTGCACGAGAAATGACGAAGGTCAAGACTGCGTAACTTTGGAAAATTACCAGTGCTTCCAATTACCGCATCCAAAGCGATTGGTATCATTGATCTTTCTTGAGGTTCTCCCAAGTCGATACGAAGACTCTCGAGATTTGAGGCAAGAGACAAGAATTGTGCAAGGCGAGGAACAATTCCATTGATGCGGACTTGCCATTCTTCAAGGCTGACTTTGATGGTAATGTCGATATGCTGGACATGCTGCAAGGCCGAAAGAGCCACATCGGTACTGATCATTGGCGTCGCGCTGAAGAATGCCAAAGGTAGAGCTGTGGCTCTAAAAGTCGTCAGTTTTACGCCAGCAAGGCTAGCAGCAAGAAATAGCGCGTGTAACCTCCCGTAATTATAGGCAGTATAGCTCTGGCTAGACCCAAGGCTGAACATCCCCTTACAAAGATATGCCTTGCAGTTGTAAGAGTATATGAATTGATCAGATGGTAACCCAGCATCATCCACGATGATCTTGTTGAAGTTTGGGAACTTTGGGACAGCTTGTGCGAAGACAACGATATCGTAGTTTAACGCATTCAAGTAGACCTCACGACGACGAATGTGGTTGTACAGCTCATACCCCTTGTCCAGGTCTTCTTCGCCGAAGGGAGGCATAGGTCTCAGCTCCTCAATTATACAATTGATGTATTCGTTCTTACAAAATTCTCGCAAGGTACGTGGCTCATACAATATGCTTCTGACATGCTTCGAAAGATTTGGCTGCTTTGATATACTCAACAAGTTACTGAAGCTTTTCTCCGTGAACATGACATGCAAATCTTGAACGAGGTTTTTGGACGCGACCTCTGCACAAACTTTGTTCGCCAATCGAAAATTGGTCAAGTCCTCGCGGGAGAGAGATTCGCAGACAATGACAAGAAGTTCCGTAGCTAAGACATCCGTAATTGACTTGCCGGTGTAGGGTGTTGGGGTCGCCATGGTGAGAGAAGATATAGATCGAATATTTGGTAATAGGGAGGATTTTGTCGTATGTGTAAAGGCTCGAGAGGAAGCAAAATAAAGAAAACCCTTTGATTCTGTACAGCTTGGAAGGTTATGGAGACTCAAACGCTCCTCCCGACCCTCTGTTGAATAAGTTTGTGAAGGTGTCGATATTTAGGAACTTGAAGATATTCCAAGCAGCTCTATTAATTTGTGCGAATAAACACAAATGCTACGGCTACGCGATACTTGAAAGTGAATTTCGCGAAATCACGCGGAAATTTGTCTGAAATTATTGTTGGCGTACCATAAAGAAGAGCACTGTGAATTTCTCTGCCTGTATAAATCTTTGCTTTATTACCCCTTGAGATTCGTTCTTTATTCCATGCCAATATCATCAAATTCCATACTCCAAGTTAGCTTTCCAAGTGATAATCTTATGAACAAATCATACTTCGCTTTCTCTCTCATTTTGGTTCATCGCGCCGTTGTTTCTCTGTTCTTTCTTGTCAATCATGTAGTTTGATTCACTGTTGGTCCACTCTATATCATTTTTGATACTGACAGTCATTATTCCACTTCTCTCTGATTTCTATACCGGATCCTACCTCTTTCGTCACTCCAATACGACAATATGATATAGATCTAAGCAATGAAACCACCATGCCCGCAAATAATACAAAGAACGAACACTTACAACTGGACAAGAATCTGCATCTGCGTAATGAAAGTTTTTAAGGCAGTCTTTATCACAGAATTGAAAGTAGCTATGAGATGTGTGGTACGAAACAGCATGTTTTCACGCTGGTTTGGCGTACTTAAGTGTCGATGGCATAGTTGATAGTTGAATTCATACCAAGGATTATGAAGAAGAAAGAATGATAATCAAATCATGAAGATGAAACGAATATGATATAGGCAGAAAGTGGATACCGATATGTGTTTGACGATAAGTGACAGGCAGTTATAAAGAAGGCTGCATATAACGAGAAACAGAAATCTTCCATGCAGTCGTAGCATCCACTTTTGCTGTAAAACTCGTTTTGTGATATCGTAAAATGATTTTCTCATCTGTAATCTCTGCTGTTTCAAGCAAGACATCATCAATACTGCGTTCCGCTCTTCTTGTGGGAAAGCAGCGCCGCCATCGTTGAGCCCATCGTCCGTCATCAGCTACAGCTCAGAACATGATGAGAAGCTTTAGCTCAAAGTGTTCTATAAGTACCTGAACAAGAAATAGTAAGACTTGATACTGCCGATAGAGAAATGAAGAGGCCCATCTAGGGCATTAGCAAGAGTGCACTCTTGCTAATGTGGCAGATTGCCTGGTTCTGCTGAGTATCATGGTGATGGAAGCATAGTATTCTGTCGTGAGACCAATAAATGTCACCATCAAAACATCTATCAGAGAGTATCCAGAAAGTATCGTACAGTTGTATAAGACCGAAAATAGCATACACTAGTAAGATAGTCGAATCATTCAGAGCAACTTCGGATCAATAAGTTCGCTCCCCCAATCAACCAACCACCATTAAAACTCGTGACTTTTTCACAATCCTGAATTTATGTTGCAAATCTGATTGGGGTGTTCTTAATCCTTCGATCCTTCCACAAACCGCAAAAGTAACACTGCAAAAATTGGAAGCGCCGGGAAGGGACTCGGAGAAAACCCAAAAATCAAAAATCATACCCCTCGACGATAATTCAATATCAAAACTCTCAATCAATATCTCTTCTCGTTCTTTATGAAGATATTGATTTGAGCTCTACGGAATAGGGAATGTCCCAAAGTTGGCAACATCAAATCATGAGATTGAACTTTGATTTAATTCTGAAAAGTAGGTCTTGGAACCCCTTTTCTGTTCTTAGCGGGCTCAAGATTTGGCATTTTCGCTGTCTGGTGGGAAATGACACTGACTTAGTCCTATGACACAACAGGTATTTACTGCAAGATCATTTTGATATCGCATATCTCTTTATATCGCGCCCTTGGTGACCCTTCAATAACTACCTAACTACCTAACTACAATCCAACCCACTTGGCAAACAATACCAAAAGTAGTAAGTCCTTATCGTCCTGAATGAATATATTTATCATTGTTCAGGGCGAAGATGCTCCATGCAGGGTACGGTTGCACTGTGTCAAGAATCTCATACCCATTCTGAGAAGAGACTAAAGCGCCTACCAAGCCGGCCACAATCACAGCATCGAGTTCCATCTCTCCACTGATCCGAACTTTAACCTCACACTTTCCAGTAGGTATTTCTTTAATTTTGATAACTGGATATTGGAGAGGCTCCCTCATTGACCCGGTGTCCTGCCCTGATCTCCAGTTTTCTCCTTTCCAGACCCCATTTTCATTGAAGGCACAGAAAACTGTAAGCCACCCGGATAGAGTCGAACCGCCGCTTATGTTATGAATATGAGCAATTTTTGACCAGAAATCAACTCGGGCTGTGGCTCCAGGATTTTCGAAGGTTAATATCATATTTTGGATTACCGGAGTAAGCAACTCCTTCCAGTGTATCAATTCTTCGTGAGCTGACCCAAACGACTCAAGCTTGTCCAGTCGGCGAAGAATTTCTTCCCAGTCTGATACCTCTCCGAGTAATGTGACTGTAGGTATACCACACGTCAGATGAAACCTAATAGGTTAATACACATTATGGTGCCTCATAGGATAAAAGATTCCAGACAGTGCCATGACGTACCTGTAATTGAAGTACCTTTTCATGGTACTCATCATTACTGAGCTACATACAATGGTGTCGACACGCGTCGTGGTCGAAAATGCTGGTAAAATCCATGACTGGAAGCTTTTATCCACGATATTTTTCTAATTACAAGTTAACGACTGAACCAATTTCTTTTGTAACGCGATACAAGAGTGCAGTAATGTTACACAAACCTGGATCGTATCGGCCATGTCAGTAGTGTAAACCATGAAATCAAAATGATCACCTTCAACAACTAGCTCCTTATTTCCTTCATGCGCCACAAAGAAGGAACGCAGTTCCTCAGAATGTTTATTCACATAGAATGAGAATTGAGTCACAATAGCGATCCAAATATCATCAGGACGAAGGATAAGATTACGATGATGGTTATACGCCTCAAGACAGGTATGCACTAAACCATTCCCAGATGGGAGAATATTCCTCGCAATCTCCTCGGTAAGTGTCGATTGTAGTATAGTACTATTGGATTTTGAACTTTCCGGTGCCAAAGTCTGGAGTAGACCTCTCAAGAACAAACCATCTGGATTTTCGTCCAAGGCTTCATTCGTGCTGTAATCATTCTGGTGCTGCTCATGCCAATTTGGCCTAAACGCTTCTGCAGCATGTTGCGCGACTTTGATCATTACTGGCATTGTGAAACTTGATGGGTCCTTGGAATCTTCGACTCTGAAAATTTGGATTAATCGAAGATATTCTGTGGCAGTACAAACATGTCCCTCGTCTATTAGTGTGTTTATATAGAACTGCAGTTCCATTTATCTATCTGACGTCAGCTTGACGATGGTATGTAGCCTCCAAGTATTTTCGAGCTTCACAAGTTTGTGCATAGAGTAGGGTATCATCAGATGCCCCTCCCCGGCAAGAGATGCACTTTGCCTCATACTCACATTCAGCTGACACGACCGTTTTCGTACGCAACGATGCTACATTTTCCAAGGAAGGAGACTATCGATGTATATCATTTTTGAGTAGGTCCCTAAGAACTTTCGTCGTGGAATCAGATGAAATCGTTGATTTAAGGTAAGCTTTAAGCTCTGCTAGCTTAAAAGTTGGTGATTAGCATGTACGCCGGGATTAGTATCAAGTTAGGCAGCAATAGTTCAATAGTGGGATTCGGTAAAATCGGGTGGGTGGAGACTTTCTGTCACAGCGTCTACGAGAGACCCCACTGCCTGGTAGTACCTGACTATCTCCTCGTATTTCGACCATCTCGATTTGATAGATTATGTATGTCCTAGGCATGTACTATGATACCAGTAATTTGGCAATATCTGCGTGAGGCTTTAGATAGCGTTCATCCAAGGATTAGATTCTGTCGATTTTCCGAAGACCAGATAATATACCATCTTAATGTGATAATTGGAATGCCTGGAGGTTCCCCTTCATGTGTACCTAAATTTCGTGTGAATATGCAAGTAGCCTACGTTGTTTTCTGCTCGGAAAGTCTTGCTTCGTCTGTCTAAACCCCTGATTATGAAGCCGAATTCTCCTCGTATCAGGAACCGCCAATCGAAATACTCAAGATATTAGAGAAAAATCTCGCTGCCGAATCTGGGAACCGAGTATTCGAGTGACTCTGACCCGAAAATATCAGAACGTGAAATACATACCAATCGCATCTCAACGCCCTGTTTCTTGTCAAAAGGTAGCAAGGAACAGTTCGAGTTTCGATCCAAGAATGGACGAGTGCCATCGAGATTAGGCTATTTAACGTATATATCGCTCTTCTTTGGCTCCGAACCACTAAAGTCTTTCGATCTTATTTCTCTTCTCTTTTCTTCCTCTTCTTCGTTCCATATTCTAATTTTCCCTAATCATCACATCGATACCTAACTGCTGCTGCCAGAAGGCAACAAAACTCCCTATAACCCTAACAGTTCATCGTATCCCGAACAACCTACTCTTTGCTTGTCCAATACTTGTTTCCTAATTTTTCATAGATGCATGAAAATTCCTTAGTCCCAAAAGTATTGTTGCCAAAAGGCAGTAAGATTGTAGATAGCAAGCTTCCCAGTTACCAACAATCACCTGTTACACTGGTATCTAAAGACGACAATGATCGATAAAGCATCCTTTAAACATGGAGCAGACGTAGCATAAACTCCTGAAGGAAAGGGACTCAGAGCTACATGCAGTGGGATAGTTGTTGTACGTATGAAAGATCAAGAGGCTGGCAGAGAAAGAGGGAGGTAACAAATCCGTAGTAGATACCCTACAAGCGTAGTTTCGAGAATAGTGATTTGTTTTCATGTTCCAAAAATATGAAACTGTGAGGATATACTTTTCCGATATTTCTCAACTCAATATCAATTATCTGACTGTCTCTGGCCTGATAATTTCCAGATATCCAGATCAGGATTCTTCATATACCGAGTTTCCAAACATAGAAACTTTGTCGTATTCCTCAAAGTGAAATGCCCAAGTACTCATGGCGTTGATTTGATTATCACCTCTTGAGCCTACACGCAATATTAGTCTCATGAATATCTCATTTAAAGCCCCCTAAAAAAGAAGGAAAAACTTACTCTTCGCTCCCACATGTTGCACAACCTGTTTTCCAAGTGCCAGTCTCTCCATACCCTCGTTTTCCGCATAATCCTCAATCATCAAATCCGTCTGGCCACTTCCTCTTCCCGTCAAATAGTTCCTCAATCCCTCCACCTGCTCCCTCGGGAAAACCATAGCCTGTGTACAGCATCCTCCACTATTCATCTTCACCACGTCTTTCCCTCTGAACTCCCACCACGGTAAATTGTATTTCCCTACCATAAACCCCAGGGTTATAAAGGCCGGTACAACCACCACTCCTATGACAAAAACCGTCCAGTTATCCAACCAACCACCTATTTTCCTTTTCTCGCCGATTTTGCTTCGTATAAATATAAGAGCGGTGATTGTGCAGAGAGGAGCAGCAAAAAACAGCATAAAATATCTATGTCGATACCAGAAATCTACCTCTTCGTTCCACGATTGAAATGTTTCTGTGTAGAAAAGTCTTAAATATATCCAATTGTAGAATTTGTCTCCAGGACTTTGAGAGAGAGACTCGATTTTATTGAGAGCAGAAATAGTGCGCTGGAACCAGTCATGAGCGAATACAATGTCGTCCTCCATAATTGCTATATAAGGAGCGTGGGTATCGTAGCAGCGGCTTAACGCGTATACATAATCGCTAGTGTGTTGTTAGTTCTTGGAAGCTGCTAACTAGCTTGGCATTCCGAGTTCCAAAGAAGAGAAACTTACAAAACTCCTTTAATCTGCCATTCCTTCTGTTTCATTAATTCCTCCAGCCACTCTCTCCTCTCCCCTCCAACGTCATATCCACCATAATCATCTACTACTCTCCCCAACCATTCTTCCTTCCATAACGGATGAACACTTGGATCCATGTCTGCAAATAACACATAAATCCACACTCTCTTTCTTTCCTCCTTACTTAATCCATCTATCATAGTTCCTAGCGCTGCATCGATGTATTGTCTCCCTTCATTCCTATCTTGCATGTCGCGCTTGATGGTTACGTATGCTATACACATATCTGGAACCTCTGTATCGCCATCTCCATCCGAGTCTCCGGAAATATTTGAAGTAGGATTACTGAACAAAGATGTTTGATTGCTCTCGACCAAATCATCTAGAAATGATAAACCAGAGGATTGGCGTCGATCAGAATAGTCTTTCTCATACACATGTGTGCTATCGAAAAATGCAGAGTGTGGGTCTCGCCAATAAACATGACGAAAATACGTAAAGAGCAAGAGCCAGATGGCAGTGCCGGTTACGAAAGAGAGAAAGGCGCTGCGGCTTGGGATGAGTGCATTAGGATGTGGGAGAGAAAGTTTGCGGAGGGAATTAGAATAATGCATTATATAGAAAAAATGGTTATTGTGTATAATGAAAAGACAAAAAGTTGTAGAACTAGAAGACTCTGAGTGAAGGGAAGGAACTATCCTAATCCTAATAAGGTGGGAACCTCATTTACTCGACGTCTGATTTGCATTAGAAAACAAAATTTCAATCAAAAGATAGAAGGGCTCGGATCATTCACTTAAGAACTATCGTATTGAATAAACATGAAGTTTGTGATTAATAGATGGGAGGGTGAATACACGAAAAAAATTACTCAGCCTGATGGTAAGCACTTGCATGGTGGTGTTGTGGGTATTTTATATGTATGCAGGATCGAAGACACAAAATAAGGCGCATAACATTTTACACGGTAAAAACTAGGATATTGACATAAAGAAATCTTGGCGCTTATACCATGTTACATTTGAAAGCATTCGAAGGATGGAAAGTTGGGATTTGCGAATGTCGCTGGACGGCTAAAATGAAAATGCCCCATTTTGTTCGTAATCGTGGATGTATTGTTGGTGGCTTGATGCTATGCATAGCCTCTTTTGTAGGACCGGAGGTGTGCAGGAAAAAATTATGTTATTACCCGGTCGTACCTTCAAACGTAGCTTTGGCTGGAACGAAATGCTGATGAAGAATCACCAATAATCAGTGGCTGCTTCTCTTCTTGGGATTATTTAATGGGAGAGAAACTATCTAGTCTCCACTTTGAAAGATTTCATTGCCATTCCTTTCGTCCACAACTCCAATACTCCACACAAAACTCGAAATGCCCTGTATTGGCCGAATTTCTACTTAGTCCGAAGCTCTTGAGTGCTCCCTCGTCATTCACAGTAGCTCCTCGTTGCTGTACACGAAACATAATTTTCTACCAAGAATTTCTACATCTATATGTAAAAGTCGCAAGTAGTGTCGATACCAGAACAAGATTTCCAGCGTAGTCAGCACTTTCATTACCAGCAAGTCAAAGAATGATATTGTGGCCAAACCACTGATTGACAGAGCTCTACTCAAGCATTGAGAATTAAAGTTGCAGAATTCTAGTGTTAGAAGGGTGTAAAGAATTCTGTAGCCACGCGTCTGGCGGTACCGGTTCAACAACCTCGAGCAGTCACAAATACGCCTGCAACTTCTGACAGTGGTTGCGGAACCAGGAATACTTGTTGGAGGCCAGTGAAGCCAAAGTAGAGAAACAGAGCTGATATTGATGCAACCTAATTTACTCAACCAAGAACAAGAGAAATGAGGAATATCCCCAGAAGAACTTCCGACATCCACTGAAGTGGATTGCTTCTCGACTTTTGTTGATTCGCAATGCCCGAAAGGCTTGATGATCGATATTGAGGTGTTTTTTTGAGCCCGGAAACCGCTTTAATAAAAATATGTCTTTTGCTATACGCGTCTGCATCGGTTTCTCGCTAGAAATGCCTAGGTTTTGAAATGAAACTCGAGTTCGCGGCTCCAAAACAAGCATTGATGCCGCAATACGATCTGAAGATGTATTCTGAAAGGGGAATAGTGGTCGTTCTTCAAAGATGTGTAGTATGATATCGACCAGAGAAGAGAAGATCTAAGACACAAAGTTGTACACCTACTATGAGATGCGCAACTATTCTCGTATGAATAACATAGACATGAATTTACACAGAACTCGCACCTTTGGTTCTCACATGAGCAAGAGCAGGTTGTATGAGCTTCCCCAGAGACTTCTGAGATACTCCGATATTCGTCATTCAGTCGTATTTAGGAAACGACCTGGGCGCCGAAAATAATAAGAAGGGTATGCATCGCAGAGTGATTTAGCAAGGTGGTATTGACTTCTTTTGACACCCAAAAGGGAGCTATATTTTGTGTTCCTTGATACGTCTTTGTGTGTAAATTCGGTCGAGCGAGAACACTCGTTCACATGAAGTCGAGTCTAAGGCAGGGCCGTTTCTTTCCCCAAACTAGGGAAAATTCTCTTAGATCTTGGCAAAGAGATAGCACTTCCTCATTTGAACCATTGGGATTATGCATAAGCAAGTAATCAAATCCTCAGAATTTTGTGGGGAAAATTACTGAAGTCCACCCTTAGATGCGACAGTGTTGCATAAGGTTCCATGCGCTTGAGATAGGTCATAAAAACGATTGGCAGTGAAGTGTAAATATTAGACGTAAGAATAGATAGGATCGGAATTTAAACGAGGGAATCAGAGTTTGCTGCTCCAAGCCCATGCTTAGATCTCGCTATACAATGAGAACCAGAGAATCTGGAATACTTAAGCCTTAAGCAATAGCCATCAAAAAACCATGAAGAGCCATATTAAAGCTTTTGGCAAGCTAGAGCAAGGCTTATCATTAGTTCCAGTGGATAGAGTGCTCTCCCTATCTATTGAGGCCTAGAACTTTTGTACAATGGCTGGCCCCTAAAAAGACAACCGAGGCCCTGCCGATGTGATGTTAGAGAAAGCACTAGAATAAACCGTAAGAGGCTTGAAATCCGCAAGATCTAGGATTGAGGGCCTTGCTAGAATCTCTATTGCATAGATAATAATATATCCCCCATCTTCGGATGACAACTCGAAGACTTCTGAGATTCCTTCATCGCTAATTGGGCATATCCTGCTGACCGAGAGCGTACCGTGATTGCTAGAGATATGTTTGAGAAGACAGACTGTAGGCCCTCCACTAATACCGGAAATATGTTTCTGTGTAGTGTATGTCCACATTGATCGATTCACCTCATACTCAGTCGTGTTACACTCGCAATGATTGGATGCCGTCCTAGCAAAGAACAGAGAATTTTTTGCAGGGCTATGCTTATCGGTATGTTTGTAATTGATAGCATCGACCCGCCGGTGTCGACATAAATTCTTAATCAAAGGTGCAAACATTCATGAATAACACTGTATCGGCCTCCAAGTCGAAGGCTTTAGTACATCATCACTGGCTTGACATGTCGTTTGAAACGTTATCACAGTAATGTCTCATAACTTTGGACACTCAAGCTTTGCCAAGAAGCTTGATATGCATTTCAACATGACAACCACGATGCATGATTGAAGTCACTCTGTAGGAGTCGTCGAAAGTCCATGGTGAGCCAAAACAACCCTGTGCAAGCCCCACAATGGCACAGCCCTACGGTTTGCTGACCTCAAATAGGCAAAACGTGGTCTTTAATGATTACGGCCGCAGGATTTTCCGTGCAATTGGCAGAAACGCACAGACCATGTACACATTTCAATCATTAGTGGGATCAAGCTGAAGCTCCGTCTTCTATCTTAACCAAATGAGGTTTGCAAGATGTTGACTTGTAACCGCTCAGCTCCGTTGATGGATGATCATTTTGAAGCTGGAGAATCATATCAGATTGCGTGAGATAGTAAGTATATAATAAGAGGTAGAGTTGGGCTAAGTATCATTACATTTTTCAAATCGTCGTCGTCGTCTTACATTTTTGTTCTATCAAACAATACTGTACTTTTTTCTGTATCACATTAACACAACTTACATTACAACCATGGGCATTATAGTCAAACTCATCGGTTCAGGAGTTGGTCTTGTATCAGAAACAATTCACCATCATCGTAACAAGTCCTCACCCAACTCACCACAAGTTTCGTCCCATGGCGAAAGTAGTCGAGCAGCTGCTCAATCCGATCACCAATACAACGATGCCCCTCCTCGATACGTTGAGCTATCCACAGAAGATGCCGAGAGAATGATGGCAAGAGGCCAAGCTGTCCCAGTAAATGAGAAAGAAAAACACGAACTGGGAGAGGAATACGAGCATGATGACTCCTCAGACACAGAATCAGAGGAAGGAGACGAGCAAGCTTGGGCTTTGGACGAAGCGGCAGATAAATCTGGCCCGGGTACACCTTCTGAAGAGTCTGCACAAGACGCTAATGAGCTTGTCGATGTGTTTGTGCGGAACCATCCACCCCCAGCATATAGCGCCGAGAAACCGAAATTACCTTGTCTGGTCATTCTCCCACAACGCAGGCCTAGGGATAAGAAACGCGGTTTCGTCAGAGCATATGCGCCAGTGTTGGAAGATTGCGGGATCGATCAAGCTGCTTTCTTGGATTTCCTAAAAATATTTTACCATGCGAGCAAATCTTCTCCATGGTTGCAAGTCATAAATGCAGCGGCCGGAATTGTAGGGTTCGTGCCTGGCCCAATCACAATGGGTGTATCTATTGCTACTCAATTTGCAGTTGGTGTGGCTATGGAGCTACAATCTAGATCAAGGTTGGTTCTTCCTATTTCAATATTTTCAATACGAGCTGATGGGTATTCTGCAGGACAAATACCTTCCTCGATAGAGTGAATAATGAATATTTCATGCCTCGTGGTCTTTATTGCTTGATAATTACATATAAGCCCGAATCATCAGAAACCCACGCGTCTGTTGACATTACCAAAGCTATCACTTCATCCCTTGATGATACAGCCACGGGTTTTAAAAAGACATTGAAGAACATTAAACTATCAAGCGGGACGACATATGGAGAACTCGAGATGCCAGAAGCAGCACCCTTGATTTTTCCAGCATTGGATCGCATTGCCGATAATGAGGGGAGTGAAAACTCCCAGAAAAGTAGCAAATTCAAGGACAGTGGAAAGTTCGTGACCGATTACTTCGATCGTCGAGCCCAAGCCAAATATGTTAGTTCTCCACTTTCCTCACTTCACTCGTCCCGTCAGCTTCCCCAGGGTTTTTTTTTTTCGCTTCCCCACAAACTCTAAACTAACGAAAATAGGCAATGCAAAATCCAACCAGCTCTCTCGCAACGCCTAAACCACAATTTCTCTCCCGCTACTCTGACCCAAGTCACCCGGCTAGTAGCGGGTCACTCATCTCCCTCATCACTGGCGGTCATGTAAATCCACAAACACGAAAAACGGAGCGAAAAGCTGCGAAGGAAGAAAGGAAGCAGAAAAAAAGAATTAGAAAGGCGTCCCGAAGAGGAGATGTCATTACTCCGGAGACGGGACTTAGGCGAAAGAGAAAGCCCGGACTTGTGAAGAGAATCTTGCAAAAGGTGAGTTTCGGAATATCAAACTTCCCCGCTAGTTTTTCATGGAATGTGCAAAGCTAACTATTTTTAGGATGTGCTTTACCTCATGGTTGTGAGTTATGACCGGGAGAGTGCGGAATATCAGGCCGGTATGCAGAGTGTCGTGGAAGAAAGGGGGATTTGATGACATGTGATGTGCTGTGACGAAAAACATACCGGGCAACGATAATTTTACTATTTGTCAATCTCGACCTTAAGGCTTAGGAAAATTTCGGTTAGTTCTCATGCGATGTAAATAATATTCAGGCATCCCTGAATCTTATGACCTCATTTGATCAATATTCAGATTCTACTTTCATTGTAAGATGTCTCAAACGCTATCTTAGCACTGAGCTACGTACGAAGCATAATAACCTCTTCATTAATTACATTTCAGATTACGCTTTGATAGTATCATATGCACTGCCACTTCTAATCCTCTTTCCCCAGATCCACAACACCCACGGGACAGGCAGCAAACCTACAACAATAAAAGCCAACAAACTCGTTGCCCATCCAATTCCCAGGATTTTATACATCTGCAATGTGAATAATGGGAATGCTGCACCGGAAACATATCTCAAAAGCCCATTTGCTGCTAGTGCTGATGCCCCATTTAATGCTTGATAGGTATCGATCAGATAGTTTGCTGATGCTTCATCCTCGCGTGTTAGTAAACGAACATGAAGGAGAACGTATGACCATAGCTCACCAATAAATACCGACAAATTTCCCCATGCAAAAGGCACGGCTCCAATTACAGGCACTATCCAATGAACACCATCCCTCGCACTCCATGCAAACCAAAACAATCCAGCCGGCAGCCCCAAACTTCCTAGCATTGCAGGATATAAACGATATTCCGGGGCTACAATCCCCGATCTCCCTTCTTCGTGGGATTTTTTGACGATAGGCTGATATAAGAACGTATCACAGAGAAGAACTGTGATGATAGCCAGAAAACATCCAGCTCCAATCGCTAAGAAAACCAATCCATTCTGTTCGGTGTCAAATCCATATACCGTCCTGAACACATACGGAAAAGCGGCGAAGAAACTAAAAAGAACGGAGAAATTGAACGCGACGTAGAGACTCAAGAAGGCGACGATGGGCTCAGAACAGAGCATGTGGATGGGTCGGAAAAGGGTGACTGTTAGGAGGAATTTTATCTTCGCTGCGTTCGAGGGAAATGGAGAGGCTGGGAGAGGTTGATTCAGAGATTTGGCGCGACGCGTGAGGATGCGTGAGTGCAGGGTTTCGGAGGTAAAGAGTAGAGGGAGGAAAGAAAAGATGGAGAAGAAGATTAGTGTCCATTGGGTCCAGCGCCAGGATTTGTGGACGGTGACGAAGGAACCTATGACAGGTCTATATGAAGACTGTTAGTGACATTCTCTTACTCTATAGATCAAGACAAAATCAAAATCAAAATCAAACACTCACCCCAAAGCCGGTCCCAAAAACGGACTCATAACATACCATGCACTAGGACGCGCTCTCTTTTCCGCAGTAAAACAATCCGCAATACTGCCTGCTCCAATCGCCAAAGCGGGACTGAACGCCATACCGGCGAAGAAACGCAGGATAAAAAGACTTGCGATGTTTTGGGAGAAGCCGCAGCCGAGAGTGAAGATGCAGCCGAGGGGCACTGAGAGTAGATAGACGGGTTTGCGACCGAGGGACTCGGAGAGGGGGGCTGCGAGGAGGGGACCTAGGGCGAGGGCTAGGACGTAGGTCGAGAGGGGAAGGAGGGAGACGGTCGGACTGGTATGGAAGGTACGGGAGATGAATGGAATGCCGGGGGATATGAGTGAGGAGCCGAGGGTTCTGGAGGTGGGTTAGTTGATGGATGGTGGGGTTTGAGATTTAATAATTTGAACTGCTGTCTAAAGAAAAGTCTTTTCTTCTTTGGATATCTCAAATTAGTTTTCGAATGTATCCCCAACTGAAACTATTCGAATTTTAAATAAATTCAATTTCCAACAATACAATTGCTTGTTGCGAGACAGCGGTCCAGCATATTAAAGATACCAAGAGACATGAACAGAGACGAAACTCAAGAAATATACGTACGCAGAAAACGAGATCAACGCTGGAGTAAAAACATGCCAGTTCTTCTTCCATCTAGGCCAATTGAGAGGATTATCTGGATCATCCGAACCATTCCACTGTAATGGCGGTACTACTATTTTTTGATCTTGACTCTCTAGATCTGTTCCTGTGGTGGCATCAACGGGTGGTGACTTTGGCGTCACATCGAGATTATCCGAGGAACTCGATTCTCGGGATGTTTTCTCGGGGTCTGTCATATTTTCGTCTGGGTTTGATGGTATGTGTTGTAGTGATGTGTGTATCGATATCATGCGGGTTTGGATATGGTATAATACAATAGGGACTATGCATCAGATGATGCTTTGTGATATTTGCAGATGTGTGATTCAAGCTTGATTCTTTCAAGTAAAACAGGTGATGGGTTAATAGATGTTGTAGTACATATGGTAGTTAGCATAGAAGATACGAACCTACATGGTCAAGAATCACGTCTGTATGGTCAAGAATCACCTCTTAGAATCCTTCGATATATCTTCATTGTTTTCTAATCAGCCTCGGGTATTCATACTATTATGCCCAGTATCATATAAAAGCCCACCAACAACTCCCTTCAAACTAGATGAATTTGCAGTTAGATCTCTCACTATAAGCGCCTCAGACCGGGGGACTTACGCTTCATCTTATCATTTAACCAAGAGGTGATACATCTCGAAGCATACTTTGATGCTTAACTCCGTGAATCTTTCGTGCGTAGCGATGGATTAGTGATCATTAAATGTGTGCCGAAGCGAGTGTTTCTCCTGATTAGTGATCGAGCTCGGCAAAAACGTCTATGATTGTAAACATTGAGGAAGTTTTAAAAAATGAGAAAAGTATTGATCAGATAGTTGACATTCGAGCAATTAAAATTAACCGATTATTCGACTCGTATTGCCTGAAGTGTTGATTGGACTTTTCTTGATTATTTATGGTTAAGTGTTTGATGTTTTAGTATTGTTGGGTTCATTACTTGTTGAGATTTTATTACTAAGGCGGGGTTCAGTCAAATGAGAACTTTTGATAGTTATGTAATTACTTGAGCTGAGACGTATGAAATCAGTAGCAAGTGTTCATATCCCTGAGTTTGAGAAAAAATTGACAATCAAATGATTCTAATATTTACGGGGCTGCGGCGAAGAACGAATGCATGTTGACTTGGGTATTTAGAACGAAAGGCGCAACAGTGAACCAATATATGTAATCAAAAAGTTTTCATATTTTTGGGTATATATCGCAGAATTAAAAATCTATCAAAATCTATTCCATTCATTTTTGGCTAGTGCTTTTTATCGACTTGCCATACCTCAAAATCATTTCATAAACTGAATCTTGTTCCATACCCAAATGGGTAGCATAACATCTGGATATCTTAATCAAACCAACAAACTCCATCCCATAGTAAGAGATCTACATCCAGAAATCCCACTGTCTTTTCCACCAAGGCCAAGCTGCCTTGACTCTTCTCTCTTCATCTAGTTCCTCTCTGAACGCTACCAAGTCCATTTCACGTCTGCCCTCATCAACATTGATCTGATCAAGGTTCACACCAAAAGACCATTGTCTGTAAAATACTTTGTATCCAACGAAGAAGAGGATAACAATTGGAGCAGCGAGGTAAGCTTCAAAGAAAGCTTCTACATCTGGTTTTCCGCCAATCGGGAAAAGCGCGACGTAGAATTGGGCGACAAGACATAGGATAACAAGGCCAAGACCAATCCATGATCCGGTTGTACCAAACATAGCTGCGAATGGAAGATCGTCCTTTGTGCGACCATTCATAGTCCATACCTTACGGAAACGAATGTGAGCATAGCAGATAGAGCCCCAGGTGAAGAAATTGGAAAGACCAGAGATAGAAAGGAGCCATGTGAAGATGGTGGAGCCTTGAGGAGCGAGATTTACGTAGGCGAGGAAACCGAAAGCGAGTGCAATGGCAATGGCAATCATTGGGCGGCCATGTTTATCGACCTTTGCACCCCAGGATGGACCCATACCTTTGGCACAGAGAGCTTGAATGGTACGGGTAGAGGCGAAAGTGCAGGAGTTGGCGACCGAGATAACAGAGAGAGTGATGACGGCATTGAAGATAGAGGGGAGTACTTTGATTCCTGCCAAACGGAAAGCAAGGACAAAGGGAGAATAGGCTGTGTGACCACCAGAGGCTTTTGAGAGAATCTCGTTGTCGGATGGGACGATAAGCCCGAGGAGGAAGAGTGAAATGACGTAGAAGAGGGAGATACGCCAGAAAACTTGCTTGGTGGCTTTAGGAATCGATTTTCGTGGATTATCGGCTTCTGCGGCGGCTAAACCGACGAGTTCGGTTCCACCAAAGGCGAAGGAGGCAGTAACAAAGACTGAACAGAATCCCTTGAAGCCATTGCGGAAAGCTCCAGGGGTTCCCCAGTATTTGGCGCCAATGTAACCACGGTTATCGGTTGGGACACCACCACAATCAATGATTATACCAAGAATGATAAAGCCAATAATAGCAATCACTTTGATCAAACCGAGAACAAATTCCACTTCTCCATACCCTTTGACACCGAAGAGGTTGATAATGGTAACCATGACGAGGAAAATAGTAATCCAAACTCCAACATTCACTGACGGATTGCCAGAATTATCTGGGTCGGTCCAAAATCCAATTGTAATACCGGCAGCTGTTAATTCGAAGGGGAGAATGATGAGCCAATTCAAAACATAGTTCCATCCCATTGCGAATCCCCAACCTGGATCAATAAATCTAACGGAGTAATTATAGAAGGAACCTTCAACGGGATAGATAGCTGTGTAGTGTAATGTTAGCTTGAGCTACTTCCAAAAGTATAGGAAAAGAGATGAAATAGGAACAGGGTAGTCTTACCAGCAAGTTCTCCCAAAGCATTAACAGTAAGCAACAACATGATACCGATGATGATGAAATCGATAACCAACGAGGCTGGACCACCGGAGTGAAGAGCAGAACCTGAACCAACGAACAAACCGGCTCCAATAGAACCACCGATTGCGATCATTTGCATATGTCTACCCTTCAATTGTCTCTTCAATTGTCCAGACTGGCCAACCTCGATGTCGCCATCAGCAGGTGATGGTGGCGACACATCAGTCGTGTATTTCTCTTTATCGTCGAAAGCCATCTTTATTTCTTAGAGGAATTCTTACTACCTTTTCGAAATTTGGATTGCTCCTGATAAGAGAGAGAAAGGAAGGGGAGTCGAATTCGATTCACTCTCAGCGAGTATGATATCGAAATACGAAGTTGTGATCGCGAGCACCGAGTGAATAAGAAGACAAGACGTTTAACTAGTGATACAGAAAATCTGGAGTTACATCGCGTAACATCGAGTACTTATACACGAAGCTTTCCACCCTGAGTATCTATCGTCGCACCTACCGCTCTGGTATATACCACTAATGGCGATCTCGGCTTTGGCGTATGCATGTGCAGACATGCATCACCTATCGGCGCCTCTTGCTTCGTAAATGATACGGGTAATCCAAATCAAAACGAAGCTAGGAAGAATTGCCTCCCTTGTAAATGATACGAGTCTTTTCCCGCAACTGACTGGAAGAAGGAAGCTAACGGTTGTGGTGAAATGGTAAAGCTTACCCTTCTTTGCATACGAATCTTATGGTGATACCTGACCCACGGGAACCCCGACTCCCAAACTTTAGCCAGAGAGAACTAAACCCTATGCATCGCGTTTATCAATGGGTATCGAGATTAAATCCCAGCTCTGCGTGGATCAGTATCCAATAGAATGGTATTGGCATGTTTCTGGGACGATAACATGTAGATAACAGATAAGATTGGAATATAGAGTTGTACTTACGCCAATCTCATTGCAAATTTGCGTCGTCAAATGTGCGGGAGAAATTCAAATAGGATGACCTAGGCTGGTTTGTCAAGACGATTTCGGTACTAACTAGTGAGAGATAGGCATAATGTGCTCGGAGTTGAGCCCCGATTCAGATCGTGGCATTTGAGATACTAAGCTTCTTTCACGATAGTACGTCAAGATCTCGTAGCATGATTGGTTCAAGGTACCACTGTTAAGCTTGGCTTCCAGCTCCGCACACAACGTAAGGATCACACTGGGGGGCGTAGATAAGAGAGAGTAGTCTGAGGGGTCCCTTTTCACATGGTCTAGATCCTTGACCACCACACAATGGAGAGTCAAGGCATCTTCTATAAACTGCGACACCAGTCACGGTGGTGGCTTGACTAGTTTGCCTCTAATAATTCTTCTAGAAGAATTCTTTGCCTGTACATAAACCTTTTTTTAACTTCTATCGGACCGAGGCAGTGGGCGAAGGTTTTAAAATCTAGGAATTTGAGAGCATGAGAATTGACGAGACTGAGGCTCGTCTCAGGCAAAGCGAGGATGAAGGGGTTAGCAAAACAAATGCTTATCTAAGTTATCTTTCTTGGTATTCATATTGAGTTTCGTATTTATGTTGATCTATTATGAAGAAATCTCCCCTATCTAATTGTACAAAGATATTTGTATCTTGACATGACATAAATCGCTCTTGAGATAACAATGTGGATTCATGGAGAAGTGTCGGGGCAAAGTCTCGTAGCGACTTTCACCTTATGACTCTCAGCATAAATATTGTGTAATAAGCCGCTGGTATCCATCGACCATCCCTACTCATCAGCAATCAGAATTAGAATCCTCGCAAAGTTGAACCAATATAATCCCTCAAATAGTGGTAAACAATGGAGTCTCCGAGCTCGCGGGGTCTAGTGCAACGCGCTATCCTCTCCGCACTTTGTGCCCATCCACTTCCATCCACTGTAACTGTCACTGTCAAAAATATCGTCCAGGCTTCAGCGTGTTAAGCGTCCCAGATTACAGAATTTTGAATTTCCAACTAACCTCCGCCCAGCTTTTAGTTCCTCCGAGTATCCATGCATCTTCCGAAACCTTATTTACTCCAGGGACATTAAATTCTAGACCGCGAATTACCGACCCGCATGAAAGGCCTATCTCGAGCCTATCTACGGGGCATTGCGGATACACTATTCGTAAATATGGCTTGACTTTCGAGCGCACTGGACTTCAAACATCTATTCTGCACTGGTCACGCTTCTTGCAATGGAATAATAACCTGATGTTGTTACGAGTTTGAATGAGGCTATTGATTGATGATGTGATTTTCAAAGTGGGTATTCACCGTTTGTAGAATATTTCACCATGAATGAGTACGTAATAGTTTCTTCCCCGCCATTCCACCGGGAAATTGGAATTACCAATGTTGGGGAAAGAAAACACTGGACAGTGGGGATGGGATTTTCAAAGCAAGATGATTATAGTTCATTAGACTTTGCAGAGTTAGCACGCCCACGAATCCGGATCCATCAATTTGGAGTTTAGCTGGGATCCAATCATAAAAGCTTTTTGATTCCTGAGGTAAAAGATGAGATTTCAATTATCTACCATTCCAAGGAGAGAGGAGAAAATTAAACCTAAGAATCTTCCTCGGATTGCAAATTAGTCAGTGGACCATAAGTAAACCTAATTTCACGCCCGAGTAAGGATGCAACAGCAGATTGTCCAGCGCTAGACACATTTCCATAGTTGCTCATGAGTGATGTCGACATGGCGATATCATCACCATCCCTCATGAGAGGCCGTATAATATCTCTCGTCATGGAAGATCCCCTGTCAAGATAGAAAGACTGGCTGCCAACTTGAGCAGGCCCGGAACGTCCTAGCGGGGCAGTCGAAAAGTCGTCGGTACCATTATTGGATACCAATTTGGAAGACCCCCCTTGAGATTGCTCGGTTTTATCTTGTGGGTCAGGGGCAATGAGAGGAACCAACGATCGTGATGTCGCCTGCCCAGGAATTAGCCCTCGAGCAGAAGCTCTCAATCCGCTCTTCAATACTGTTATACTTTTACTTGCAACCGCGCCCGCCGCTTCTTTCGTGACAGCGTACGAGCCTGCCCGACCTACTGTCTTTTTGAGAGCTGTTGGTAAGGCTTTGGTAGCTTTGAATCCCTGTTTTAGAAATCTGCCACCAGCTTCACCGCCTAATCCACCTAATAACCCACCAAGAGCATCCAAACCAACACTCCTCCAAGTTATTTTTTCTCCGATTGCTAAACTTCCAACCATACCAGATGCTACATCGGATAACACACCTGCCGCGAGACCAACACCAACCTGTATAGCCAAGCTTGCACCACCAGTTAGAATTCCAACCCCTACACTAACGGCAATTCCAACCACCACCATGATGAGATCTTTCCATGTAAGATTGATGCCAAAGAGACTGAAATGGCCAGTTGGATCTACACGATTGATGGGATCTCCTAAACAGTACACATAAGGATTGATTTCTCCAGAAGCAAACGGAGCCCAGGGATCAGGTGTATGGAATCTTTGAAGCTGAGGATTGTAAACTCGGTACCCATTGCCTGGGTGGTACCACCCTGTGATGGGATCTCGCCATTGTCCATTAAAGCCAATAGAGGAAAAGGAAGACCCAGTTTCAGAGCCAGAACATCCATAGGGCGTATACTGCTGGTTCTGAATCTGGTTAGGATTTTGAGAATCCAGTTTGGTGAGAATAGATTGTTGACAATTAGAGGCCCAGAGATGAGTCTCGGTGCTTCCGCCTTGTTGAGAGATTGTTTCTGCCCAATACTCCGATCCGTTTGACAAATAACTAACCGAACGATCTCCTTTCTGAACGGCTATAAGCGATCCTCTGTAGAAAAATCTTGTGTCTGGTTGGTTGGGCACTCTCTGACACGCTAGGTTTCCCGCTGCATCATACAAATATTGCGCAAGAATATTGTTATTGGCATCTCGCACATCAGTCAAGCGACTCATGTTATCGTATTGCAACCTTCGGCCTTGTTCATCCCGTGTCAAGCATCCATTATAATCATACTCGAGGACCATCTGAGATGAGTAACTTGGATGTGTGTTGGTAATTTGCACGAGTTGAGTAGGATCTTGTGTGCCAAAGGAACTGAGGGAAGTATTTGAGCTACCGTCCTGAAACACTGTAGAGCATTGCACAATATTATCGTAGTTATCGAAGACGAACTGTTGCGACCTAAGAGGATTTCCTTGTTGATCTGCAGGAGGCTCGGTTCCTTGGCACTGATAATTGACAAGACGGTTGTGGACATCATATTCGAAACTCTCACTTCGCATCACACTACCACTTTTCTCCTGGATGCGCGAAGCTAGAAGACCGATTCCATTGTATGTCTGGCTCAGATGATATATCAACGTTGTCTCTCCGTTGTATACTGATCGTTTAATTTCCCTCCCAAAATCATCGTATGTCAATTTGGTTGTGATTTTTGTATTCTTTTCTTCGTCCTGAACACGATTTTCGATCACACGACTCGCGCTGTCGTAGACAAATGATACTTTTAATCTGCCTTGTGCTACCTGTTGAGGTCTTCCGAACGCGTCATATTGAGTCTCTTGCAATTTCCCATTCGCATCGATATACTTTTGCAACTTTCCTGCCATTGAATAAGTATAGAGAGAAGAGAATGTCTGACCTCCATTGATAGATATCGTTTCCCGAGAAAGTAGCCCAGAAGTCAAATATTGTAGATCGTGGGTAGAATAAGCACCTTTGAATTGCAATGGAGCAGCAGTTTGAGCGTCATACTTATACGCATCTGTATGGCTGCTACTGGATATTTGTGTAAGCGCACCATTCAAAGCTGACTGGTAGGTTAGGTTGTATTGCTCTCCCTTTGCGTTGATTATTTGTGAAGGCTCGGGTGAAATCCCCTGATAACTTTGACTGGTAGTTCGTGTGCCCATAACTTTCCTCGTAACACGACCTAATCCATCAAAGGATTGTTCGCCTACTGTTCGGTCGTTAAGCGTCACTGAAATTGGCAACAAGGCTGTTGTTTGACTTGCATACTGCGTCTTTACAACGCGAGTATTAGGCCAGATGGTCTCAACTACACGGTCAAAGGAATCAGGCTTGTATGCTGTTGCACGACCAAGGTTATCCTGTTGCCTGAGAAGACGATTTAAGCCATCATAAGTATAGTCCATCTTGCTGTAGAGGGTGTTGTTCTTGTGGTACAGTGCTATTTGTGTGGGCGCACCAAAAAGATTCAACATGGTTTTAGTCATACCCTCGCCTTCAACACCTTCAACTTTCGTATTGGTGATTGGATCTGTATTGGTTAATACACGCAAGCCAGAGTTTTCTGACACTCTATAAACCTTGCCCCAGTCATCGTATTCCATTGACTTAGTGCTTCTTTGCTCAGTTGGTAGGTCTATTCTATCTGTTCTCAGCCAATCAATGTCAGATGCTGTGATGAGTTGATCCTGAGCGTTATAGCTGTTTTCCTGGATCACCCGAAATACTTGGTCATCCTGCTTCTCAACCCTCCAAAGCCTTTCCAAACCATCTGCGATGTAGCGAGTTTGTACGTTCTTTGCATCAAATACTGTTGTGCGGGATCCGTTGTCAATACCAAGGAAAAGGTATTCCTGGCGTTCAACAGATTCATAGGATGTACCTTGAGAGTGAACTATCTTGGATGAGCGACCGAGGCTGTCATAGTAGTAGTGGGTGGAAATGCCAGATTGGCTCTTGTGAGTTACTGTAAGCCCAGACCACAATGAATATCCCGTTTCTTCCACTGCCGTAGAAGCATCGAAAGCTGTAGTGGCCACTGTCTGTACAAATTTGCTATTATTGGGATATGTGTAAGTCCAATTCTGTGCCGTGGGGTATTGGTCAAAGAGGCGTGTCACCTGTCTCTGGAGGCGCGTATGATCTCTTGCCGCAGCATTATTCACATAAGTGTAATCGAACTTGGTAAGAAGTTGATTTCCTTCCATATTTTGCTTCTGTTGGAGTACGACAAGATAGCTCGTCTTTGCGCCGGTTGCCGTGGGCATTTGGGTATATGTATAATTCTCACTGCGAATTGGCCCCGCAGAATTAGCTGGTGTTACCGTCTCGCGTTTCAAATATCTCTGAAAGTCATGAGGATCGCGTGGGCAATATGCACCTTCGCCAGCTGCTGGATAGTAAATGCGATCGATTCTGATACCATTTGGTTTGATATCCTGTGTAGGGTTACCCCACTCGTCAAAGACATTATGGCTCGTTTCTGTGCGGGTTGCCTGACTAGCTGTATCCTTGTAGATAGTTTCAACAGTTTTGGGCAATTGATATTGGGCAGGTTGATTTTCGAATGATGCGAATGGGACCGCATGATATGTCATCTTCTGGGTGACTTGTTTGATGCCTTTTTGTTGTTCAGAACTGACAAGAAGATGAAACTTATTGTAAGTGTTCTTCGTTCTTATTCCGCCTTGGATTTGAACAGTTGAGGTGTATTGGTATTCGTCACGGGTAAGGAACAAGTTATCTTCTCCATTTTTCCAATTTTGACTACTACCATATGCAAGAAAGTTATAGTCAGAATAGGTGTAGGAGGTTGTAATCGGAGGTTGTGAATTGCCAGGACGTGCAGTATGAGATATGGCATAAGGAATTGCCTGGTAAGGGGCCCCTGTCGGCAATCGATGTCCTTGTTCTTTATAGCTAATCTCTTCCACGAGACCGGACGGGCTAGTTACATTGTTCAGATAAACCATTTGACCGAACTTCTGATAGCCAAACTTCCAGGATGCTCCATCCCAAGGCAAACGGATCTCGACCAGCTGACTGTTTCTTTGAATGAGAGTGAAGGTAGCTGCTTCGGGTGTATTCGGGGCCTTGGTTATATCCACTTGAGATGCCCCATACTTAACCTCAAGAAGAATTTCTGAACCCTGCTGAATCTTGTCGAGGCGAGCAGTCTCGCCAAGTGCAGACCAAACGAATGATAGCGAGCGTCCAGTAGATGCATACAAGTCAACAAGAACAGACTTATTGTATCTATCGTTAAAACTGGACAAATTTTCGATTTGGCCCGACTTATAAGTGATCTGGTACGTATTGGCATCTAGCTTCTTCAAAGTCGAGCTTTTAAGCTTTTGATCGGTGGTAAAGATTGCGCTAGATGTTTCCGTAACTCGGTAAGACTCGCCTGTTGAGAGGCTAACGACTCGGTTCGACTGACGGTGTTCATAAGAGGGGAGGTTGAATGTCCATCCTTGACCCAGTCCGACATCTTGTGTATTCAATGGATGGAAGGACAAGGAGAGTTTGAAAGGAGGACAGTTTCTGGCTTGAATTGGTGCTTCATACAGGTCAACCATACACGTGTACTGGCCGGTGCGTGGATCGACGCCTTTCTGCAAAAAGTCGCTAAAATTGAACCCCTGAGAATAGATAGGAGAACTAGATGACATTTTTTATGTTGATGGAGTATAGCTTGGAAAATAATTGCAATGTTTGTGTTACTGAATTCAGAATATAGACATAGGTAGACGCAAGTTGATTTTGAAGGAAATTCGTTATCTTCTATTTCTCCTCGCCGAAGATGATCAATCAAATTGCAGAAGTGGTGAAGGACAAAATTATCTCCATAGCGGTTGTATTCATGAGGTCGGCCAATCTCGACAGCCCAGAATGACTCTGTATGATATTATTCAATCTACTTTTCAGCTATCTGCAGCCACAGTATTGAGTGGAATTTTAACAGAGAAATATCATCGATGCTTGCGAGGTCCAGCATAAACCTCAAACAATGCATTGCGTCTATACGAAGTACCCCATGAGTTTCCTAGACTTCGGAAACTCAACTCAGTCAGTTTAACCTTGATACTGAAATGGACGTTGGTCAAAATTGCGATAACCCTCATCCTTTTCCATGCAGGCTAATCAACATGTGTTCAATCATAGTAACAATCAGACATGAGAGCTGTAAAGCCTCAAGAGTTATCATAAGCGGGGTATTTTAAGGCATTTTGATGAACACACGAGGCGGTCTAGGTGCAAGCTGCATTGATCAAATATGTTGTACCGTATCATTGCTCATTGTTATGAAGAAAGCTTCTTCTGGAATAATATGACAATTCATAACATACGTTCCAAGCGATTTGCGGAACCTCGTCAAACATGATAAGAGGGGTATGTCGAACCCCCACCTCACTATATGCAGAGTTCGTCTCTAGGCAAGTAGTCAGCCAGCCTCCTTTCAACACTCAGCTCGCCAAGTACGATGCGAACAGTACCAAGCGAAGCGTATTGAGTATTGTGCATGATCACGTTCGTATAATTTACTGCTGTGATACAGCTTTAATAACGAAGATTCAAATGCTCCATACTCGTATAGAGGCATGAGATAGAAGCCAAAGATATTCACAATCATTCTTCTCTTACATGCTCAATGGCAATCTCCGGCGGGGTGAAAATCGTACGGTTTGTGTGTACCCACCCAATGCACCTGTCAGGATCCAAATCGATAACAACGAAGGAAACGCGCGGGAAGAATGTTGAGTGTGGTAGTGTTTGATGGTGTGTACTATTATGTGCATATAATACTTCATCTGCCTAGGAAGAGAGTTAAATGCTTTGATCATTTCACATTGCACATTTCACTTGAACTTACCAATTCTAAGCAACCAGATTTGTCGTCACACAACATACTATTTTCCTCAAGTCAATCATACACACAAGTGATACTGTGAGTCATGTCTGTGAAATGGGAGGTAACATTTTTAAGTATACGCACAAGTGAGGCCGGGACTTCTCTATTTGCGAATGGTCAGATGCAGGTAGCTGCGAACGTCTTGATTAAGGCAATCAATCCAGTCAACTACGATCCATACCTCTTGACAGTGGCAGAGCTAGCGAAAATTGAGCTAGTTGACTATTACAACACTGATGAGAAGCTCACTGGCCCTTGGAAGTTTACCTCTGTTGAGAATGAATTTTCACACACAATGCCTCCAGGTGCCGGATTTGTCGCTGATGCAGAGGATCCTCCTCCACAGCCACTGATGGTGGACCAAAGTAAACGATATTGGGTCAGCACAACAAGACCTGAAGTCAAGAGCGTTGGAGCACGCATTACCCAACCAAATGGCAAAGTGATCACAACCCGCAGTCCAGAAAACGACTCTTACATTGCTTTTCGGGGCTACCAGGAAATCCGGTATTCCTTATCCAATTCCGAATGGTGGAGAGAAGATACCGCCAGTGGCAGTGGCTGGGACCAGGACAACTATTTTCTCAGAAGCGAGGTTCACCCGTTCATTAGAGCCGACCGCGCTGGCTATAATGATGACACTTTTGAAGTGGTGGGAATGCGCAACAGCGTGGCATATCATCGTGCAGGCCCGCATCTACACTACATGTGGCCTATGGGAGCAAGGACGACTGTGAAAGCTGGTAAGTCTCGTTTATTCCTTCTTCTTTTCTTACACCTCCCTCTGTACTCCAATACGACCTTTCTTCTTCTTCGCCCAAATTATTTGATAGATATTAACGTCTCTCCCATTCACAACAGGATTGACGCACTACGCCGATGGAAGAGTACACCCAAACGCTTGGTCAAGAGATATTGTTATTAGACAGTATGCAAACTCTTTATGTCTTACTCGCTTGAAGACGTCCGGTCCACTGGGTATTTGGGACCTTGGTTGGTGGTTTTACCCTACGGCCACAATGTACGACCAGTATGGGAATTCAGGCATGTTTGATCTCGCTGTCAATGAATACAACACAATATCCATTTCTAATCGCGGCACGAAAACCAACCCCCCATCCAATACTCCCCATCATGAAGACGAGAAAATTACTCCGGAGGCAAAAATTGGTAAGAGCGAATCATCAGTTCCCAAACCGTCCCCGAATTAAGTTTGTGTGGGCCTTCTTAAGGAAGCGAGCGACCGGGGTATGGCTATTGAATTTTTTGACAGATCTTGGTACTATCTTGCTTGTTTTGATCTTAGTATAGCAACGCGCTCACTCACATTCGTTCAATCTTACAATATAATATCTATCTATCTCTTTTCATTTGTGTCTGTGTTTGAGCCTTGGATACTGCTGCTTCTCCTCAAGGCCGAACACCCAACCTTATTCTCTATTCAAAGTATGGTTCAATCTCGAATACTCAGATAGCATTCAATGAGTCAAATTATTCATTGGCTGGCTTGCGTTCTCCTGTGACAACTCATGTTTTGGAACAATAATCATGTGACCACGAGGGAGCTATACTAGCTAGGCCTCGAGTACCTCACCCATAACGCTAGCTTTCCATGACCTCTGTAGACAGCAAGCATTATGAACACTAAACTTAAGCATTGATACTCTCAACAACCAAGTTAATCCTCATCACCTTCACAAACTATTAACTCTCATCCACCCACCACCAAGAAAAACACAAAGACCACCCACTTCAAAATCTAAAGAAGAAAAACAAACATTTTTCATTTCATATTCCTAGTAAATAACTCCACCCGGCCCATCCCAACCATACATTCGCCCTTGCTTGCCTACATCCCAAATAAGAAAATATCCTCAAGATATTGTTCCTCAAAAAATTCCATTCATCCATCCATGCACCTGTGCATCCATCCATACATTAGAGAAAAAGACCAATATCGCCATTCACCAAGTATAGTGACATGAACTGATGAGTGTGTGATAAAAGAGAGGGAAATTTGATGCCAGGACAAGTCAATGCTAACCAAACAAAGCAGCCACCCCGAAGTTTGATCTGATACCAGACAAAGACAACACAGAAAGCCACCCTATAACATGTAATTTAAAAATTACCCTTTTGTTTCTTGTCTCAAGAATTTTCATGTCCTGCCTAGAATTCCCAAGGTGAATTCCTCAACCATCAATGACCATACTATCACCCGTCAAGCCCATGAGGCTTTCCATTCCATCTTTGGCACTTTCTATCTCCTTCTTTCCACCATCTGAATAATAGCCACTTGCATTTCCATTACCAGTCAACACACCACCACCTTCTCTCTCTGTACCGCATAACCTGTATTCATTAGATCCATCTCCCTTAGGTTCAATAATGGCTTCATCAAGTGCCCATCTCGCCAAAAACTTATCAACGCCTAATCTGTTCGCCTCTCCTTTTTCCATATGCCTACCAACATGTTCAGTCCAGTCATCCCAACTACCTGCACCCTCAAACACATTTGAGCAGTCTGCCTTAGGGCATGCAGATCTTTGAGGTGGCTGTCTTCTAGTTACCAAACACGATGCTTGCATTTCCTTAACATGAGTTTCCCATTCTACTTGAAGCTTGGAGTCTCCTTTGGCAAGAGCTTTCTTGATTGCAAAGGGTGCATGCATACGTCGGAGATGTTGAGTAAATAAATCTTTGCGGTTAAATTCGTTACCTTTGCCTTCGGCGGTGCTTTGGGGACAAGAAGAGCAGCGATAAAATGTCAAGCAAAGATGCTGAGAAGCAATATGTCGTTTCCACTCATTCTTAGAGCCAAAAGTACTTGCGCATCCGGCAAAGGAGAAAGCACACGGGAACGGTCTTGTATGTGCAGCAGCGATATGTTTTCTCAAGGAAGACGAATCCTTAAATGGTGCATGACTGCACATTGAACATCGGGTATCTTGTTTAGGGCCTTGCTTTTGTGACGATCTCCGGGGCTTGGGTCTGGAGGCAGGTGAATTGAACTCTGAGTTATACAATTGATCTTCGGCTCCAGATTCACCTTGATCCTGAGATGATGCTGATTCTTCTCGGCCACTTCTGGGACCCGGAGAATCTTCAGAAGTTATGTGAGAGTGGTTCCGATCATTTGGAGTCAGATTATCGTGACTAAGGTGTCGTACATGACTCAAAGCCTTGAGTTGTTCGGCTGCTTCATGCATCTCTACTGAGGTTTCGACGTCTTCTGTATGCTCAGGAAGATTTGCCGTACTAGTATCAGGATACAATACTTGGGGGATTGATTGAGGAGTGGAATTGATTGGGTCTTGTCTTATAGGTTCTTGTCGAGAGGGGGTTTGATGGACTACTTCTGGTTGTCTAGTTGGCTCTTGTTGAACTGGTTCATGTCTAGTCATTAGTGGTGTGGATGCAGCGGCCTCACGAGCTTCAAGTAGTATTTTACCATCTTCCAGTTCCTTGGTAGTTGCGGCTTTGCTCATAGGGGAAATTGCTCCAATCAAATGTTGATAATCTGTTGTCATGTTGTGAGAATTGATGTAACCCAAGAACAAACAGATTCCTTCGGCGGCCAAAACGTTCCATACCGCGATTGGCATAGAAACAAGGAGAATGGTAGGTGGTCCGTGGAACATCCCTTCGACTGCGATTTTTGATGCTGCCAAAGGAGTATTGTGAAGCCACTGTTTGAAAGATGCCATATCTTGACTTGGTTCTCCAACAAAAGTGGTACAAACTAAGGCTCTGACTTCTTCAAAAGTTAGGTCGGAATTTGAGTTGGCCTTGATTGGTTCCTCAATGCTTGATCCTGAGGCATTGTTCTCTGGTGAATCCGTTGGCGATGCTATCGAAGTGCTTGATCTTGGGACCTGGCTCAGAGGAGATAGCGAAATGCTTTGTAATGATCCAGGGGTCAAGGAGAAAGATACTGGCATTCGCTCGTTGGCCGAAGCTGCCTTTCCTGCTCCATTTGTAAGTCCAGTGTGTGCCAGAAATCCATTGTGCTTTTGTGAAATGATCTCCTCATGGAGTCTTTGCGTACTGAAAGGACGGCCAGTACCAAGTTTATTAAGAGCTTCCGACAAGTGATAAGTAAATGAACGTGTTCCTGGTTCACGTGTAGCCTGTTCTGGACTATATGCAGCAATACCTTGCTTGATGCCTTGGCTTCCCGCAACAGATGAATCTGTAGTTGCGCAAGAATCAAGTAAAAGTAGAACATCAGGCTGCGCGTCTTCGAGTAAATATTTAATACCTTCCCACTTAAATTTTGGAGCATCTTCGTGTGAATTGCTATTGCATATCAGCGATAAGTCACAAGGCTCGATAAGCTTCCAATCTTACCAGGCCCAATATAATTGATGATCCGATCCCACAAACCCATAGCCTGCATAATATACAATTAAAAGATTATTAGGCGCAGTTGATTCAATATGATGTGCAAGTTGCTTCACAAGTTTAATGTTAGGATTTGGACCACTAGGGATATTCCAGGACTCGGTATGAAAATTAAAGCGTTCTTGGAAAACCTTCTGCAAGAGCAAAAGATCTTGCTCAACACTCAAATCTTCTTCCCATCGCAACAAAAGTACTGTAACGCCCTTATATGGAGATCGATTTGCTTGCGCATAGATAAGCATTGCTGCATCTTGTAAATGACGGGCGAAAGACTCGAAATCGCTTCGCTCATTCGAAGGTGCGGGCTCTTGTAGGTTCGGCATAGCCTTATAATCGTACCTGGCTTGAGGAGACTGAACTACACATTAGCAGGATACACCAGATCCCATGCGATGAATTGTTTACCTGTTCTTGAGTAGATTGCTCTGGAACTTTGGGTGCGAGACGTCGTTTCTTGCTGGAAGGCTCCATCTCCTTGTCGCACAATGCGATACTAAATGGTGTCAAAGATTTAGGAAAGGACAATAGACAGGAGGCAAAGCTCTTTTCGATTATGTCAAGGACAAGATGATTGATTGAGAGACGTTGAGTAAAGTTTGATGGAGGAAGTTATTGTGTAAGGCTTCGTAGCCTGACGAGGCTCTTTTCGAGGCTGAAGTCTTTAATTTAGCCGAGCACTAGGGAACCTTAGTTCGGGAAGTGGCAAGGTAAGAGTGCAGTATAATGATGCACGTGATATGCAATTGAATATCTTTGTCTTACGAATATATTTTTAACTTGGGGATTAGATTTTGAATGTGTTTTCTTCTTGTCAATTTTCAAACAGCCTTGAACAGTAATGAAAAGTAGGTAGTTGAAGTTATGAGCATTACCTATCTTTCTTGTTAATACTTGAGATCATATCCCTCTACAATTGATTTTGAGGGGGTTGGGTAGCTCGGATTGTGAATGCATTTTCAACCTATCAATTAAACCATCTGACAGCCAATCACTTATATCGAGATTACTGGATTGACGGAACACTTCTAATCTTTCGAAATTTTTAACAAATTCATTCTTCAATTGTTTGATATCAGAATTCATGTTTTGATTGTTCCATCTCTGATGATTTGATATACCTATCAAGACATATTCACAAGTCCATTTTTGCATTGTCCCGTCAGTCCGTACACTCACTGGTGATCTAGAAAGGAAACGAAGATATATTATTAATGTGCTATCTGCCTTTCAAATTTTAATAACCTCTTCGCAGTGCCAATTCCTCCAAGGGCGGTATCTTTACATTCGTTAGTGATCTGTTCTCTGCCACTTCCCAGTCCAAGATTTCATTGTCGTACTAAATGTTGTAAATGTTAGGATAGTAGAATAGTTTTATTCACTTCGGCCAAGTAAAAACATCTAGAGTTCAATTGAATAAAGACTCCGAAGCTCCATTGTACTGTATTAACACTTCTGTTGTCGGGAATCTTGACGCTCAAAATCGAGAAGAAAAGAATGTAGTTCTTCATGTACTGACATATCACGGCCTTATTGCCCAACCAATCAGATCACCTCCAAAACCCATGCGTCAAAGTTCAAAGTTGCTCAAAAGCCTGGCATCCGAAATTTTCCACTCCACTACTATTCTCGAGAATGCTGATACAGATCATCTAGAATGGTAGTCATGCTTTTTAATGGCCCAAGCTGGAAGCGCCTCACTAGGGCTGAAGTCTTCGTCATAATAACCACATTTCTTCACAGTGGGAATGAGTATGTGTTCGAGTTGATGAGCAGCGCCCCTTTGACTGACGTTCCAACTAGTCATTTTCTTGACAACGTTTCTAAGGTAAGGCGAGTAAGATGAACCAGCGTCCAAGTCGGATTTACGACTTCTTCGAGACGACAACCATAGATCAATTTCATCGCGATTTGTGGGATATGATTCGAATTTGAAATGTGAGAGTGCTCCGAGCCACCGTTGTCCATGCACAATAGCATTGGTAGGTCTGCAAAGATTGTATATACAAACCCCAAGTGCATAGAGATCGCTCTCGTGCGTATGATATTGGTTCGGAGGAAAGCTACTAAGATGCCAATTGTTTGTTGCGGGAGGATCCCAGAGGAGTTCAGGTGCCCAGAAGTGTCTTGTCCCGCAAGCTCCAGATCCCTGCTTATGGTTATCAGTGGCCAGGCCGAAGTCACTAATGACCAGGAAAGGATACTTCGTGGCTCCGTTTGTCGACCTCGACCGTATGAGAATATTATCAGGCTTCATATCGCGATGTAAGATTGGTTTCCAACCCTTTGCAGGCCCAGTTCCTGTGTGTTTTTCATTGGTGATGAACGATTTTCCGCCCCAAAGGTAGGAAAGAGCATCACAAAGTCCAACAATAGCGTGCCAAACAAAGCGTTCAGGTACATCGACCGCATCTCTTGTACCCAGACGTTGAGCATGACATTTAATAAGGTCATCCAAAGATCCTAAATCGCAAAATTCAAGAAACAATGATGCGCTAGCTGGATGTATGTCATTTGGTTCTATAAAGCCATTGATGTATCCTGCGAGACCGCCATGCATCACCCTATGAGTAATCCCAATCTCGACTACGCCCATTCCAGGCGTTCCATCTCTCAGGGGTTGCAAATCATCTTTCTTGAATCGCTTCTCGACATAAAGCTTGCCCGTACCCTTGAGTCGAACAACATGAACTCCGCCATTCATTCCACCTATAGCGCCATTCCCGGCGTCGAGTGTTTTGACGATGGTATATAAATGTCGTATATTCTTGTTCCCAATAGCTTGGCGTCGTGATTTTTCGAGAGTTCCATCGGTATTTACCGTCATAGTTGCAGATTCTCGAACTAGTCTAGAGACACCGAGAAGGCTTGAGTTCATGATTTCTTCCTTGAAACGCGGATTGATATAAGAATTTTCCCTAGTCTGCGTGTTGTAATAATACTCACGAGGATTAGAGACAGACCTATCAACCTTGAGTTGCCAAGGCTTTGGAATTGCACCTTTCATTGGATGATCGTAAGTCAAATAACCATTAGGACCACGGAAGAAAACTCGATCGTTATTATCAAATTGACCAACCCAACCTGCAGGTACGTCTGTCATCTCCGGGAGAAATGGATTTACCATCTTGCTGGATCGCCTTAGACAAAGAAGATGAGATACTGAGCAGTCGTGGTCGGGAATAGGAAAGTTGTTATACTCCCAGTAGGATTTTTAGGACATTAAACCGATCGGAGATAGATTGAAGTAAATATACTAATGGTTTGTGCACGGGTTGCAAAATTATCTTGCGATTATTTGTGTGTGAATCACCTCTTTGTAATGCTATGGCTCAAAATGTGAATCGAAATTTGTTCTAGTCATCAATGTGAAGCGTGAATTGAATGTGAAATAACAGATTCTAAGAATCAACTCAATCTTTCTCTTAGTATTTTGTGTATAAGAGATGTCGACCAAGAATAACAAATACAGTTTTGAGCTTTGCAAACGCAGAGGGATTAAGGATGGGCCGCATTCAATCATTACTGACTTCAAGCTGTTAAAGGCCATGGCAGTAAAGAAGAACATTGCAGCACGAAGTAAAGAAAAAAGCCAAAAAACTCGAGGGGCTCCTTCAAAACGTCTAAGTGAAGAGGATATTCAGCAACACGCCGTACCTCATCAACTATATACCTACGACCAGTTACTGCAGAACTATAGAAACTTCTTTCTGACTGAACCATTGATGAGGTGCTTAGATGACGACAAAAACATTGACGAAAGACTAGTAGGTACATTCATTCCCAATTTCATTAAGAAAAGGAGCTCTTTTAGACTGGTTCGACTGACTTCTGTGTTCATGATCTAGGGAAACGAACTTCTTGTGAGACTACGGGAGGAAGTACTAAGAAGACCACCAAGTAAACGTCCCCGACCTGGCATACAAATGATTTTTGATAATCATCGCCAAGAACTCCAAATCAGAGCATTTTGGGATAACGTTAGGCTGCAGCTTCAAACTGATGAAGAGGACGATGATAGTAATGAGAGCAAATCAAAGGCTCTCTCTGAAGATCCCACCAACAAAGAATTAGTGGATCATGTGAAATTAAAAGCCCGAGGGCTTCGTTCTTTGAAATTAGTAACGAAGATATATGGACGTCGTGATGATGCGAGATTTAGTACATGGCAAGGAGCAACGGGAAGTGTACATGGCCTTCGCTCAAACAAATTAGCGGCACGACCCCAGAAATTTTAGCTTCAGAAGGTCTCGGCAAGTTCCGACATCCTCGACCAATTCAACACGTATTGTTCGAGCGCACCGCATGTAATCTTCAACATTGAACACTCAAACCACAATCATACAATATGGATCCATTCTCAGCAGAAGGCGAGCTTCTCAACTTGCACAATCATTTTCACCAAGGCCAATACCAGGAAGCCATTGATTTCGATACCAGTGCCCTTTCTCCAGAGAATGCACTCCCGGCGCGAGTTATATCACTAAGAGCTCAAATTGCACTCGGACAAGCTGAGGATGTGCTCGCAGACGTACAAGGAGAAGATGCTGTTGAATTAAAGGCTGTCGGAGCTCTAGCCGTGTTTGTGAGCGAAGATGAAGACAGGGGCGTTCAGATGATCTCGAAATTGGCTGAGGACTCGAGCGACAATGCGACAGTGCAGGTATTGGGCGGAACAGTTCTACAAGCTGCAGGAAAGAGCGAGGAGGCTTTGCAGTTGTTGGGGTTGCACCAGGGTAACCGTAAGTACTATACACATAAGGGTCACTCTATCGTCGCAGAGGGGGCTAATCATGGGAATTAGTTGAGGCTGTGGCTCTCATTGTTCAAATTCATCTGGAACAAAACCGTACCGATTTAGCTATCAAGGAAGTTCAACAAGCTAGGAGATGGGCTCAGGATAGTCTGTTGGTTAATTTGGCAGAGTCCTGGGTGGGACTTAGAGTTGTAGGTTTTCTCAAGTCCAGTACACAAAATATCTTTTACTCACAACACCCAAGGGCGGAGAGAAATACCAGCAAGCATTCTATGTCTTTGAAGAACTCGCACAAGCTGCATCAACATCCTCAACACAAAGTCTTGTCGCACAAGCAATCGCGGAAATACATCTAGGAAGATTGGAGGAAGCAGAAGCAGCATTAGAACAAGCTTCCAGCAAGGACCCCGAGAATGCTGAAGTCCTTGCAAACAAAGTCGTTTTGAACACAATCTCAGGAAAGGATTCCAGTGATTTGTTAAGGTATGTGGATTCTCTTTCTACGCGCTGCTTTCGTTCCGACTTAATTACAGAGGTTGAACATTGGATTTATGCTATAATTTCCTTGAATGCTATCTCTCAGAAACATTGGAACAACAATTCAAGGTTCAGCTTATGTTTGAACCACTCTGCAATGCTACTTCTGCTAACATTTTTCGTTTAGTTCATTAGGAAGTACATCACCAGAACATGCATTCTTGAAAGATTTGGAGGAGAAGAGCTCCTTATTCGACAAGGCTGCCACGAAATATTCTCCAAAGGTCGCCGCTGCATGATAGACCTTGGCTTTAGTAGTAGACACGAAAATCTTTTAAGGCGTTGGGGAAAATTATGTCGTTGTTTAGCGAGGTCTTAGAAGAATGGTCTCTTGTTAATTGAATGTTGAGATAGTTTATGCGAGAGGGCATAACAACACCATCTATAATCAAGTACCCAAATGGCTGCTTTCCTAGGCTGCTAATAGTGGTCAGCAGCATTGAAACAGGTGATTGAAACAGTGCAACCAGATCAAAAGAAAGAAATGCGAAGAATATCAATAATCTACCAAGGTGATCAAAATTAATGGCATCGAACTGCACTGTAGATCGCTTGGCGTATGTGACTTTCATGTATGTAGAATTTATTCTGATTATCACGTGTTGAATCCATCACGAGCTTGTCTTGTTCATCAAACAGATAAGTTAGATGCAATCTAATCAGAAGATCTAGATCGACGAAAGACTAACACACTTCTGTTCCAAGTTTCAACGTCTCTAAGGATAAGAAGGAGAAAAAGAAAACACGTAAGAAGATCTACTTGGGAAACGAATCTCACGATAACCTCAATTTCAACCTCAATTTCTCATCTCTTTTTTTTTCTGTTCGTTCGAATTCTATTTACGTAATCACCATGCCCTTTGTAAACCCCAGAGAAGTCATTAATATCTGCATTGTGACATCATCTCTTTTTGTTGTGCACCAGAAAAATCGAATCGAATCGTAAACAAACCCCATTCTCCTTTCCCATACATACGGAGTACATATATACCTAGTACCTAGTACCTGGTACCTAGACAATCGCCTGCAGGCTAGTCGGGAAGTGAGAGGCACATGCCCTTTGAGCTTTGCAGAGACGCAGATGAATCAATCAATCAATCAATCAATCAATCATGTTGGTCGTTAGTCGTAAATCGAGTGGTGAGATATGCAAAATGACGATCTGGATACTTGTGCTGCGTTGGAATGTGCATACAGGAGGTAACCTTAGGTAGGTGCTTGAAGTATATCTCGGGTCCTGTTTGGGTATGATGGATTCACCCATTAGCCAATGATGCGGAAACGTGCATGCAGTATTCGAGTACGGAGTATGGAGTATGGTGTGTAGCCAAATCCCCGCGTCAGTATATCGGTGAGCAGTTTGTCTCAGCAACGCGCAGTAAGCAGAGCAGAGCAGTAAGAAGCGAGGAAAGAAGAGAAGGAAGCGTGGGAGCACGGTATGCAAGCGCTTGGATGATGGATCGTGGCTTGAAATTCTCCGTGTGGAAGATACGTCGATGCGAGAGTGTCTAAGATAAGCCTGTTTGTTCGTTGTTTCAATGCATGCATGTGCATGTGTGTATGTGTGTATGTGTGTATTTTACAGAGTACCTAGTGTGTTGCAGTGGTCTTTTGACTCAGTGTCCAGTACGTGGAATGGAATCCCATGAAACAAATTCTGGCATGGTTCGGGACTTCCTTTTTTGTAAGCCAACTTGCATAGATGGGTGTGTATGGATGTTCTTGTACATGAGAAGTGTGAGTGCACGTAAATAAAGTTGACTACCTACCTACCTACCTGCCTACCTGGTGTCTGTCCCGCACCGTTGATTCGGTTGGTTGGCTCTTGTGTTGTGTTACTGGGGTAGCGAGTCTAGATGTATGATGTCATCAGGTGTGTACTGTGTACTCTCACTGCACCATGCCAGCTCTGAATGATAGGTAGGTAGGTAGGTATGTGAGGTAGGTATGTGAGGTAGGTATGATGAATCATATCTAATTCGCTTTGTGAAATTTTCACTCGAGTCAAAAAGAATCAAATCACAACATGTATCCAATCACAGCAAAGAATCACAGCAAAGAATCACAAACACTTTTTTTCTTCTCACATGGCAATTTAAACTCTAGATCCTTCGTATCTTCAAGAACATTCTGTCCGTTCCTTCGCACCCACGTATGTTCTTCCACGCTTACGCTCCCCCACCAATCACTTTTTCCACGCACTGCCCCTCTGTTCAATTGCCCCACCAAGGTTCCAGATACCAAGATCGAATTTGTACTCGAGACATCGATATTTCGTTTTCCAAAGTTGGAACTAATAATGTTGAGAGATGTGTCTATGTGATTGGTGGACAGCTTTTCCAAGAGACACCGAGAAACTCATGACATGAGTACCTAGTATGATCGTGAGAATTTGGTCCACGAGTTTCAAACACATCTTTGTTGAGATGCATTTGCATCATGTAGTATGGAGTCATTGTTTAGGATGGATGGGGATGGAGATGGAGATGGAGAAAGTGAAGATTGTCACAAAGGAGATGGAAGAAAAGTAAAGGAATAGTTTCACATCAATGAATATAAAAATCGGGAACCGCCCTCGACTTCAATTTTCTCTCTTGCTATATTCAATCAATCATTCCATTCAGGCAATCTACAAATTAATACCAACACCAACATCTCAACGGCGTTTAAACATTCCAACTCCAGCATTCAACAACGGCCCATATATATATCAATTTTCATCCCGCTCTCCGCCTTTCCTCCAACTTTGAACCCATATTTCTCATCCCTCCTTGTTTGCATCACTGCATCACTGCATCACTTCCATCGTTCATCGAGATACCGTACATACATATCTTATCAATCCAAAAATTAATTCGTTCTCGACCTTTCCGTGCCTACCTAGCTCAAACTTGGCTCACTAGCGTTCTCCCCCTGATACTCACACATTTATTTATTTACCTCTTCATCCGTCCTTTTTTTCAAAATGCCTTCTGCAATTACACCACCAACTCTCAGTACCAATTTGGCAGTTAAGAAAACAAGTTACGCTCGCACACAAGATCCAGATATGTTGAACTGCAAGAGAAAGATTATTTGCTTTTCGGGTATGTATTTCCCTTTTTTGCTATACATATACTCTATTCGGATGAGAAATTGGTATACCCAAAGAAGATACTTCTCAATTGTTTTAATATCAAGTCATTTAATCAATATTTCGAGTTCCAAATCATATTAAATATATTCAGAGGTTTTGATTTATTACAGATTCAAAGTCTTTTTATATTTGATTGGATATTGATTTTGTGGTTTGATATCACAATGGCATTGTTCTAGTTTATTTGGGTGTAACAATTTTTTGTCGATGTGAAGATATATTAAGATAAGAAACTAACATCTCCACTCCAGATTTCGATGGCACAATCTTCATGCAAGATACCGGGCACGTCCTTTTCGATTCATACGGATGCGGAGAAGAACGTCGTCAGATCCTCGATGAACAAATCAAAACCGGTGAACGTTCTTTCCGTGATGTTTCAGAAGAGATGTGGGGATCTCTCCGCGTTCCGTTCGAAGATGGTTTTGCCGTAATGGAGAAAACTCTCGAGATTGATCCTGATTTCCAAAAATTCCATCGCTTCTGTATTGATAACAACATTCCCTTCAATGTTATCAGTGCGGGTTTGAAGCCGGTGTTGAGAAAAGTCTTGGATAAGTTCTTGGGAGAGGAGGAAAGTAAGAGAATTCAAATCGTTGCAAATGAGGCAGAGATTAGTGAGGATGGAAGCCTGTGGAAGCCAGTTTGGAGACATGACACTGAGTTGGGTCACGACAAGGCATTATCCATTACTGAAGCAAGAGAACTTGCTCAATTGGAATGTGAAGATGGAACTATCCCATTGATTGTATTCATTGGTGATGGAGTCTCTGATTTACCTGCTGCGAGACAAGCAGATGTTTTATTTGCAAGAAGAGGTTTGAGATTGGAGGAGTATTGCGTGGAACATAAGATTCCTTACATTCCATTTGATACCTTTGCCGATATTCAAAAGGAGGTTGAGAGGATTGCTGAGGAGGATCAATTGAAGACTGGTGGTGCAGGCAAGCCAGCTAGATTCAATCCAAGAGCCAACTTGTGGAGAAGAGTTTCAAGTCAGAATGCTGTAAGTTATTCTCATTCTGGGTCAATACTTCTTAATACTAACATTACATTCAAGGTTCCTTCATATGTTGCTGCTACTCCAACGAAGGAAGAAAAGATGTTCTTATGGCCAGAATCTTTCTCTGAGATTAAAGAAAATATACCAGCTTCAATCACCGAGGAGGTTGGCGCTTAAGATCGGAAATTGACAATTGCTATCATCTTCCGTGTGCTATATCTTTATTCATTGCATTTTTATTTATTTTTATAAGTTGCATGGCGTTGAGGTATAGGCATTAATTGGCCAGCCGGTCGGGATATCATTTTTTGGTGGAATTATAGGTGGTTCAAAAGATCTATTGGTTCGGGATATTATTGCGAATAGATATATAGATTAGTTGCAATAGATATTTGTTCGTATACGGACTTGTGTTTCACTCTTGGTGTTTGTGAATATATTGGTATGAGACAGCAGAATCAGGACACAGTAGTAGTAGTATTATTACTGTGGGCGAGTTTGCGATTGTAATTAATGAGTAGAAAACCCCGAACACGAAGCCCGTAGAAACGATAAGATATAGATATAAATCTATATTCAATGACAAAGATTATGTTTATACTTCTTGAGTACTTTCAAGTTAATAAAAAATATTATATAAAGAATAAATCTATAAAAGACTTTTATAGGCCTAAAAAGGATTAGAAGGGGACTAAAAGAGAATTAAGAGGGAACTAAAGCGAAACAAGATTTACCCTATTAGATAAAGCAAATAAATAACTAATTTAGATTTAAGACTGAATTATTATATTATTCCCTTTTTGAAAAACAATTTACCTTTAAGTTTATTCTTATTCTTTTCTTTATTTTTTTATTTCTAAAAACCTAGGCTCCTTTTTTATTATTACTTTTTCCTTTATTTTTCTTATTATCTTTCTTTTTTTTGATAATATAGTTAGTGATTTATCTTTCTTATTACTATTATCTTTATTATTAGAGATATTAATTAAAGCATTATATATTTATTATAAGAAACTAATTATAGTTATATAAATTATTTGATTATAAAGTGGGATATTATTTATTATTTTTAAAGTATACTTGTGACGATCCGGCCTCAG